GTTGCCTCCATGTTGATTCTGCTCCTGACAGGCTGAACAGAAGGAGAATTCATAGGAGAATGCATATACTAATAAAATTAAAGCTTCCTCTAGGTCTTGTGGTGCATGTTGGCTGCTCTGCCCCTTGGACTATATGTCTGCTTTTTTCCTTCTAGTTATTATCATTGAAAATCAGTAGAATTTGTGCTCTTAACTCATTTCACTTTTCTGAAAAACATTTCATTTTTCGTAGAGTCGCATGTTGACAAATGATAAAAATGAGCCCACATGAAGCTTTCTTAGAAGGCGTGATTGGTATGGGATAAAGAGGTGAAGCAATACAATGCTGAATTGTGGGACTCAGTTCGAATCAGTCTCTGTAGGTGAAATGCTGGTTTGAAACTGGAGAAAGCTGGTAAAATTTAGAACAGCTTATTTGTGATTATATTTCTTTCAGGAAGAAATTCTTCCCGGAGAGGGTGGTGAGGCACTGGAACAGGTTGCCCAGAGAAGCTGTGGATGCCCCATCCCTGGATGTCTTCAAGGCCAGGCTGGATGTGGCTTTGAGCAACCTGGTCTAGTGGAAGGTGTCCCTGCCCATGGCAGGGGGGGTGGGACTAGATGATCTTTAAGGTCCCTTCCAACCCAAACCCTTCTGTGATTCTATGATTCTATGATTATAAGTACATTAAAGTCACTATTAACAGCAACAGTTGGAAAACTCAGCAGTTTTGATAGTCATGGAACAATTTTAAGGCATGATTTAAGAATTTAAGATTAGTTTTGCATTACATGAAATCTTGGGTTTTTTCTTTTAAGATGAGAAGATGGTTTTTCAGGCCAGCCTGGCAAACGCTCAGATCTTGATTCCTAGTAACCAAGCCAGTGTGAGTAGCATGCTCCTGGAAGGACGGACGCTGTTGGCGCTTGCCACTACGATGTTTGCGCCCGGAGGCATCGATCAGGTACGGTGTGCAGCAAATTGCTGATGAGCTTTTGAAGAAGTCCCCATGTGGCGTTGAAAACTCCAAGGAGCGTGTTAATAACACAAATCTAGTGCCGCTGTATCGTTCCTTCTCCCGTAAAAACCCGGTTTTGGTGTTTCCGTGTTGGTTGACCCAATGAAGCGAGTGGGGCGGTTTGAGGTTACGTGGTTTAGAAAGAGCAGGACGCGGTGGCTGTGAGTTGGAGTCTTTTAACTCCTTCACAACGGTTACAGCCGAGAGAGGTCACAGGCACTTGTGTCCCTCAGTGAGATTTTGTTTGGAAAAATACTTTCGATAAACTGTTAAAATGAAAATCTGGGCACAAAAACCTCAGCTCATGGGGTGCATTGTGCCACAGGGATCAAAAAACACTTTATCAATGGTTATACTTTTAAAAGACAAACGCTTGGCGAACCACACATTGGCACAGAATTGTTTAATACAGATCGTTTTGTCATAGGAAGCACAGTAACCCAGAACGTAAGATACTGTTCAAGGTAGGCCTGATGGGACTTCAAAGGATTTACGGGGAGAAATGATACTTTGTGTTGTCACCGGATGTCATATTCCCGTGTGGCACTTCAGATTCCCATGAGGCAGTTTGTTTGGCATTTTCAAGGATTGCTGTATTACTTCTTAAGGCAGTTTCTTCTTCCTAATGAAATAATTTTGCTCCTTGCAATGTAGGTTCTTCAGAATGAAGATGGGGAAAAACCTCTGAAGAAAGTTGATCCACAGCTCCTAAAAATGGCATTGACTCCCTACCCCAAACTCAAAGCTGCTCTCTTTCCCCCCTGTACTTCTCATGGGATTTTGCCACCTGACATCTCCCTCTACCATCTTGTTCAGGTACCCAAAATGCTTATTTTGGCAGAACAAAAGTAACCTGAGAGAAGCTGGTTTTCAGCTAAAGCCTGGAGAGTGGGGCCCATATGTTGTTTCCTTGGAATCTTCAGGTGGGAGCTAAAGTTCACTCTCAACAGTTTTTCAAAATGGTATCTAGATCCCGTGGGTCTGGTTTCCCCTTGCTCCCCAGGCACCTCGAGCCGTCTGCGCTGTTGAACTCCAGCGGTCCCGGGATGTCAGAGGAGTGATGCTCTTGCCGAGTTCCCTGGGCAGGCTGCTCAGTGTTACAAAAAGTAACATGGTTTTAATTCTGTAAGGGAAATGGAAATGTAGGATTGAATAAGAGCGTCTAGTGGAATGCTGTGACACGTTTCTGGGCCTTTTACTTCAAATGATAAAGCATGAGGCAGACTGAAGGTTGGAGCAATGCTGCGAGTTAGTCGTTATTAGGGAAGCGGTAACTTTGCTAAGATCACCGTGTAGCAAAACACTTAAGGATGTTTTAGACCCAAGTCTAAGCCTTCCCCGGTACTTGGTTGAATTCTGATCCTGCGGAGTAGATCCGTACGTGCCTTTGAGAGCGAGCTGCACAAGACGCATCGCTGCTCGCTAGCAGCGCAGGCAGTTCCTGCTTGTCTGCCGCGGTAGCTCCCCCAGATACCCTCTCCTCTGGTCTGCTGTGAAAATCTTGAGATGTCCTAATGTATTTTGTTTCTCCTCTTTCAGTCATTAGTGCCCTTTGATCCCACTAAATTATTTGGCTGGCAGCCAACAAATACTCTTGCTGTGTCAGGTACGTTGCTTTAAGTTCTATATGCTTTTCCAGCCTGAGCACAGAGGATAAAATACCTTCCAGAGCAGTGATTTGGCAGATAAACGTACTCAAACAGCATTTCTTTTACAAAAACAGTGCGATTTAGTATAGCTTTGTTTTGAAATTAAATCCTAGATAGATTATCTTTTTCCATTAAGCTCTTCACAGACAGATTTTTTCCCAAGTGTATTATGAGATAGAAAAGCAGTATTTTCTTGTAAAGGCAAGTTGAGGGCCAGAGGAGTGATCTAGAGTTCTGATTCTGCGGTGAGAATTGGAATTTCACTGGGGTTTGGGGGTGCTTTGAGGTAGAGCAAGAGGGGAGGTGTTTGCTTGCCATCTCATCTTTTGAGGCTGAAAGCCATTTTCTGTGTGTAATTCAACTGTTCACCAGCTCACAACAACGATGCTGTTCTCTCCAGATGCACCAAGCGACTTTCCTCATTTTTCATCCCCTGAACTGGTGAACAAATACGCTATAACGGAACGACTGGATTTTTTGTACTATTTGCACCACGGACGTCCATCGTTTGCTTTTGGCACATTTTTGGTCCAGCAGCTGGTAAAGAGCAAATCCCCCAAACAGCTGTAAGTCTTCCCAAAAGTGACAGTCGGATAGTTCTTCTGGAGGTGTAATTTAGCACGTGGAGGACCGTGTTAACAGGAATCCTCTTCGTTTCAGGATTCAGCAAGCAGGAGGTGAAGCCTATGTTTTAGCTCTTTCCTTCTTCAGCGTACCCTCCGTAGCAGCCGCCTGTGTGTGTTTCCTGGAATTGCTCGGCCTCGACAGCCTCAGGCTCAGGGTGGATATTAAAGTTGCAAACATGATTTTCAGTTACAGAACTAGAAATGAAGAAGCTCAACACACTCAAATAAGAGAATCTTTGGGTAAGGGTGCCTTTTGTTTGTTCCGAAGCAGAGTACGGTGTATTTCTGGGGAAGAGAAGCAGGCATGGATTGAAAGATGGTGCCTAACTTCTCAGGAATGCAGGAAAAGCATCCTGTCCTTTGAAGAGCTAAGAATGTTGCTCTTCTTTTATTCCTGCTTCTTGCAAATTTTGAAGGTGCATTTTGAACCTGGCATACTAATTAAGGTGGGAAGACTAATATGACGTGCAGCCAGGATTGTGGGAGTACCTAACAGGCACTGTCAAACAGCTGCCTAAAGCTCAGTGTGCTGGTTACTAAGGTTCAGCCTAATATTGTAATGAAACTGGGGCGTTAAACAAAGGGACATTGCCATACCTCTTTCACACCTGAAAACTGGCTAGAGCTGCAGTGAAATCAGATGTTCAAAGCTGTAAGGGAATTAAATTTATCCTGGGAGTTTCCAACTGTAGGGCCTCAGGTGTCTCTTTGTCCCAGCTAGGAAACCACTGACATTTATTTGTATGTTCCTGATCATTCGAAAACATACGTTATTTAAAACTGTAGGTAGAGCTTATTGAAGGGGGAAAAAAAAAGGACAAACCCAGAAACAAGACAGAAGGTTGTGTGATTTGGAAGTTCAAAGTCTTTTTCAGAACAGATGGAGCCACTTTGTGCCAGACTTGGCATAGTGACCAAAGCATTTACCTTCCTAGGATTTGGTCTGCTTGTTGGTTCTGGTACTTTTGAAAATACTACCTTTGCTCTAATCCCAAGTAGCATCTCGGAATTAGTAACACATTCTTTTCAACAGTGGACAAGTTAACAAAATTGGCTGATGGTGAAAAAGCAGCAGCAGCAGCAGTTCTTACCTCCTTAGAAGAAGCCTTTTGGGATGCAGTTGAGCATCAAGGAATAAAGAAGTGAGTAAAACATGATTTAAAGGGTTATGCTGGCAAGTTGAGGTTGAGCACTGAGTTTTACCGATTGCATTCAGGTGACCTTCCAGAGATCTGTGTGTGTTTTAGTGCAGTAAACTGAACAGCAGCATCTGAAGTTAGAGTGCAGCCGCGGTGTTTCCTGTAGGAGAGGGAATAGGTGTGTGTTGGCAGGAATAAGGAAGAGCAGTCGGCATGCTGGACTCGCTGTTCCACGGAGCTCTGGCCACATGCTGAGGAGTGGAGGTTGTTAACTTCTTTTCAAGGCCTACATCGTCAAGACAGGACCGTGGACCTGCCTTGGGGGGTGGGAATGCCCATGGGGTGTAGTGTGGAAGTTCCCACAGGGGAATGTGCCTGCAGTGAAGTCAGTGGAGGTGCTGGCGTTGCCGTTTGCAGGCACGTGACGGTGTTTATACGTTGTTAACATCTGGTTTAAAGCAGTTTATTACAGCTGGAGCTCTTTCATTCCATGCAGGACATCTAGTGACTCCAGAAGGCAGTGGTCTTTGGTAATGCAGTTCTGTAAACTCCATGATATCGGACTGAGTACATCGTACCTAAAGGAATGTGCCAAGTCCAGCGACTGGCTGCAGTTCATCATCCAAAGCCAGCTGTACAGCTACCAGCCGGATGAGGTAAGCTGCTGAGGATAGACTCATCAGTTGTCTGTGGTGTGCCAAAAGAGGAAACTAGGAAGAAAAAAATAGACTCTTTTAACGAGTGAATATCACATTGTGGAGACATCAGATTGGAGCCTCATCAGTTTCCGGGGAGTTCGAGGTTGTCTCAGGGTGCTGATACCCTCTGACTATGGTAGCCCTGCTCTTACAGCCAGGTTTCCCAACTTTTCTACTGTTCTCTCTCCCTCGGTATGTGAAAAGCCAACACAAGACAAAGGAAGCCGACTCCAGATGCAGGTAGAATAACACGCTCCTGGGAGCATGAGAGCTAACTGTTAAAGAAGATTCAGTAAAGATTTTCTGTACATTTAATGTTTCAGTCCTTCCTCCTCCTCTTCGGATCTCACTCTGTATGGATGCTTTTGTCTCTGTTTCCCCAGGTCATTGCTGTCCTTCAAGATTTCACTCCCATTCTTCAAGATCACTTGATGCTGGCCCTGGAGAAGTTACTGCCTTCGCGTCCTGACGCAGGGAGTCCTGCGGACGGTGCTGCCGCTGTGTTGAAGAGCAGATATGCAGATAGTCTCTTCCAAATCCTTTTCCAGTGTCAGGGGCACTCGAACCCTCCAGGTTACCTTTTGGCGGAAGGATTGAGAGAGCACGCTCCCATTCTGAGCGTGTTAGCAGCGTGTTTCCACGTGAGTATTGGTGAAGCTCTTCACCTTCTAGGGGAGTAAGTAACGGAAGAGTGATGGTTGGCTGGAATGACATTAAATGGTAGCTGTGTGGGCTGCATTCACCCAGGGTTTTTCTTAGGTTTTGTGGTAACTGTGACTAGCACGGCACATTTGGCCAATGATGCATGACGAGGTGGTGCTTGTCTCTGGTTACTCTGAAGCCACTGCTTGTCATTTGACAGGATGCAAACGTTATCCATTGCCTCTGTGTTTGGGTAATCACTACTGTGGATGATGCTACCAGAGTTGAAGCCACAAACCATATTCAAAGCTCGGCAGAAAATCACGAGTGGGATCTTCAGGACCTGTCAGCTATCTGGAAAGTCTTGTTAAGAAAGCAAAAAAGTAAAACACTTCTAAATGGCTTCCAGCTCTTTTTAAAGGTAAGGCGATGCCTTTTTAGTGGTATACTTGAGTGTATCTCAGATCATCTTGGGGAGGAGACAGCCAACAGATTCCCCCTCTGTCTTGCTGTTTGTGGCCTAGATAGCCTGGGTGTAATCCACTGAAAATCCCAGGCAAGTAAGAAATCTTTACATGGAACTTCTTCCAGTTATTACAGATTTGCAGATTGTATTTCCACCTTGCACCCAATTTTAATAAATTAGAACTTCATTGTTCTGGTACCAAGGAAGGTAAATTGTACGTTCATTGAGGTACTTTCAGAAAAGAATTGTAACCTATTTTTGTGTCTTAAAGGACTGCCCTCTGCTGTATATACTGGAGATGTATGAACTATGTATGAACTGTAAAAAATACGGTGAAGCTAAAACCAAACTGGGCAAGTTTCAGGAGAGTCTCACAAAAGTAAGCAAAGTTGTTTTCCTTAAATGTCGTTGCCTGGGTCTTCTCCTTTCAGAATGTGATAGGCATCTCGTGTCCTGTGTGTAGGTAATGAAAGGGGTATGCCTAGAGTGACCTAGGAGCTGATTGGCGAAGCAGTAGGCTTCAGCAGATCATTATGGCTGGCAGTTGGTGGAAAAAATGAATTTGCAATTCAAAACCTACAGTGCATTCTTCTAAATCATAGAAACATGGAATGGTTTGTGTTGGAAGGGACCTTAAAAATCATCTAGTTCCAACGCCCCCTGCCATGGGCAGGGACACCTTCCATAGCCCAGGTTGCTCCAAGCCTCATCCAGCCTGGCCTTGGACACTTCCAGGGATGGGGCATCCACCGCTTCCCTGGGCAACCTGTCCCAGTGCTCCCACCCTCTGCGGGAAGAATTCCTTCCTGATATCCAATCTAAACCTCCCCACTTTCAATTTAAACCCGTTACCCCTTGTCCTGTCACTACAGGCCCTTGTAAAAAGCCCCCCCCAGCTTCCTTGTAGCCCCTTCAGGCACTGGCAGGTGCCATAAGGTCTCCCTGGAGCCTTCTCTTCTCCAGGCTGAACAAGCCCAACTCTCCCAGCCTGTCCCCATAGCAGAGGGGCTCCAGCTCTCAGATCATCTCTGTGGCCTCCTCTGGACTTGCTCCAACCAGCGTATATCCTTCTGATGTTGGGGGCTCCACAGCTGGATGCAGTGTGGGATCTTCTCTGTTCTGTATTGACCAGGGCAAGTCAGCACTGAGCAGACGAACCGTGACTTACAGGGAATGTCTCTGTACGACAGGCAGCTGTTTCAGAGTTTCTGAAGAAGTCTGCGTACCGCTCTCGTTTTGGTGCTCACGCAGAGGTTCCTTTGACGATGACCCGGTGAACTGAATGACACGCCGATTAAAACCCTGATTTACCACCTGGTTCTAAGAGGACCACAGCGCTTTCATTCACCTTGTTGGTCACATACAGATGTTTTCACAAGTTATTTCAGTTCTGTCGCAGTCTTCTAGTTCCCTGAATATCTTGGTAGCTAACACTCCATGTCAGTAGTGGTTTTCCTTCCTGCAATTCAGGCTAAGTCTGGACCAGTTTCCTGTGCAGCACTCGCGTAGCGGATACGCTTGTGAAGGATACAGCAGGATGACTGGAGCTGTTAATCTAGCAATTCATTCATCTATTAACTTCTGATCCTTCTTGCGTCTTTGATCTTTTTCATGATTTTGAGGAGTAACCAGTGGTCTCCCTGCCATAAAACTCCCTGCTTTCAGGTCCAGGTCAGACACAGATCATAGATCAGTGCCCCTTGGCCATTTCCAGTGCAATTCCCACCAAAATGCAGAACATATTGGCAAAAAAAACCCTGCAACACTTAAAAACCTTTATCTCCACAGCTTAAAACTGAAGAGGAACCAGCAGTTTCAGAACTGCCTGTGCAGTGGTTGGAGTCACAAGCGTTGTTTCTTCTGGAATTGATGATGCAGCAGTGTCGAACGGAATACGAACTCGGAAAGCTCTTACAGCTGTTTGCTGCCGCCGATAATCTTCTGCTCAATGGTAAATACAGCTTCCTCTGTTTGCTGATACTGCTGCTTTAATCCAAAGTCCACATACGGTGGTTTTGGAGTGACTCAAAATGTTTACTTTAAGTGTTTCCTGCTGTTTTCTTTTTGTATAAGGTTTACACAACCAGACTTGGTCCTTACGGTGAATCGCCGTGGAGAGGTGTAACTGTGTGTAAGTCTGCTTGGGAGAGTGACTGTGCAGATGTTGATGAGGAGTGCACAGATTACCTGCAGAAGTATTTTAGTTTTGGCTTTAGAGCTTGTTTTCAGTCCTATGAAAGCTTTGGAGTGTAAAATCCGTTCTGCTCTGGCAAGGTTGCATGCTGAAATAAGTAGGATTTCCCCCAGTTTAAAACCAGCTGGTTTTAGTTGTTCATACTCCTTTAAACAGGCCCTTATGTGAAGAAACTCTGTGCACTCAGCGAGACCCTGCAGGATTCCTCCATATCGATCAGTCGCTCCATCCTGACCAGTTACAGCATGGAGGTGTTTCGGAGTGAGTGCAGATCAATTCTGGAGCAGCTGCAGGAGAAAGGGATGTTCTCACTGGCGCGGGAGGTAGCAGCGCTAGCTGAATTGCCTGTGGACAACGTAGTTACGCAAGAGGTACCGTGTAGTTAACGTTATTCACCTCTCAGTACTCCTCTGTATTGAGGATGTTACTTCTCGGCCTTCCTGAAACACAAATCTGTCTTCAAATCCCTTTTTATTTGAAGTGCAAGTACAGCAAACAGGTTGCTTCGAGTGCTGAGCGAAAAGGACAGCCTGGCTTTCCTTAGTCTCTTCCTGCTTTCACTTGCAATTGGTGTTATTCGGAGAGATAAATAGGTGGATTTTTGGCGTGTTGGGGCACTTAATTCAGTTTTTCAGTGTGCTGTCCATCCAGTGTGATTTCTCTTCTTTGGAAAGACGGTTGTTTAAAACCTCTGTGCATTTTGCAGGTTCTGAGAGATCTACATCGTTTAAGAGACTCTGGACAGTGGCAGCAAAACCAGACAAGGACTGAATTCTGGAAAAAATGTAATGACAGCTTCATGAAAAATTCAATCTCCAGCGAAGCTGCGTCGGATTTTTTTTTGGAGCAGGCAAACACCGTGTTTGAATCTTCAGCTCCCGAGAAGGTGACCAGCAGTATGGAGAGACATTTGTTGCTTACCCTGGCTGGCCACTGGCTGGCCAAGAATGACGCGGCGCCGCTGCACAGATTAGAAGAGCTAGAGAAGCAGATCTGGGTTTGTCGCATCGCGCAGCGAACGTTATCCGCAGATGAGGGGCCTGGCGAGCCAAGGTTTTCCTCCCATGTAGCAGCGAGCAGGGATCTTACCTTTGAGAACTTAGCTAAGGAGTTTTCTTTTGCCAAGCTACCTGCCCTGAACACGCCGAAGTGCTTAAGGCTAGAGGGTCTCGCCTTCAGGGAGTCTCAGCAGACCTTGGCCAAGGATGAGGAGGAATCGCTCCAGTTTCTGATCGGACGCCTCCTTGACGAGGGAAGCGTGCACGAAGCCAGCCGCGTCTGTCGGTATTTCCGTCTCTACAACAGAGATGTGTCGCTGGTGTTGCATTGCAGAGCTCTGGCCTCGGGGGAGGCTGACCTGGGCAAATTGCACACGGATATCCAGGCTCTCCTTGCAGCGCGAGAGAAGACGTCTGCAGGCAGTGCAGCTCAGCAGAGCAGAGTCCCAGGCGGTGAGTGACCCCAACCGCCTGAACAGTAACACCGTTGTTGGGGTCCACTGGATTCTTCCTCCATTGTTGTTGATTTCCCCCAAAATTTCTGCGGGAAGTAAGGTTCTCCTGACCGTGGGTTATCTCCTTGCTTCCTAAATCCCCTAGTGAAAGGAATTTGAAGCCCTGCAGTGCCTCTCTTGTGTGTGCCTCGGGCAGGGTGCTCCTCTGTACGGTCTCTGTAGCCTTTTGACCGTGTTTAACCGATCGCAATTCCGGTAAAGCAGCACTGAACCTCATCTCTGTTCCTGCTTTTGGAATACACACTCTAGTAAACCCTGAGTGTGTGTTTCTGGAGCTGAAACAAGGAAATACTTTAATTAATATGTTTCTCTGAATTCTTTGTGCATTATAAAGGGTTCAGTGTTTCTTATCACTAGCAAGGCGAAGGTTGGTAATGTTCATACGTCGAGTCCTCCGTACGTATTTGTGAGGCCTGAAGGAGGAGGCTGTCAGCTGGGATGTTGCTTTCTAATATTAACACGTATAAAGCTTGATAGAACTGGAAGAGTGCTGAACCCTTATGCTCTCTTATGCTTAGGAATTTTTACATCTGAGATATGATTGTGGATATTTTGGCTCATTTGTCTTCTGTCATATTGTTTGTACCCTAAGACTTTTAAAAAATAGTGAATCACAGGTATCAAGAGTTCACTTTTCAAAGACTGAGGAAGTATTACGCATTTGCTACAGATTTCTGGCGTCTTGCCCCACTGAACCCTTATGCTCTCTTATGCTTAGGAATTTTTACATCTGAGATATGATTGTGGATATTTTGGCTCATTTGTCTTCTGTCATATTGTTTGTACCCTAAGACTTTTAAAAAATAGTGAATCACAGGTATCAAGAGTTCACTTTTCAAAGACTGAGGAAGTATTACGCATTTGCTACAGATTTCTGGCGTCTTGCCCCAGGTGTAAGGCTTCTTGGTGTTCTCTCCCCTTATGAGAAAGGCATTTATGGTCGTGTTGTTTCCAGCATCAGGCTTAGAAGACTGGACACACCTCGTGGCTCCATCTCCAGATGATCAAGTCGTTACCAGCCTGAAGGTTCTCCTAGATGAATGTGTCCATGGGAGGAACTACTGCAGACAGGTTCTCTGCTTGTATGAACTGTCTCGGGTACGTGTCTCGTTACGTTATTGAAGAAAGGAGTGTTTGTGTCTGGCTGTGCTGTGGAAATGTGTAGAGGAAAGGGTAAGGAGTGGTGAAAGTTCTCACCAGGTGCCCGAAACAAGCTCCAGAGGGTGAAGGCACCAAGGCTGTGTGTGGAAGTTGGCCAGGAGCTCCCTAGGCATGAGGCACTGGAGTGAAGTCAACTCCCAGACTGCCCAGGCCCCTACCTCTGCTGCCTCAGATTTCAGCCTCTCGTGGATGGGCCTTTTCTACAGTCCTTCAAGCATATATTGTTCATCCAGCGCTTTGCTTTAGGCCTTTCTTGTGGGATGCCTTCATTGTGGGATGCCTTTGGGATCAACACTGACCCAGGAGTAGACAGAGCAGCTGCCTTGGAAGTATTAGCAGGGAAGGGCTGCAGGCTCCGCACAGCTGCAGCTCTTTGCCTGGAGGCAGCTCAGAGTAGTGGCTAATAAATTCCAAGAGGTTTGACCCAAACAGTGATAGGAGAAGGAGCAGGTGGGTGGTTGCTGCCTCTCTGCTCCTTGGCCTTCATGACTGCCAGCAGCCCACCTGTGCTGCTTCTCCAGACGTGTCTGGTAGACACATCTTCCAGGGTACAGACCCCTTTCCATGGTATTTGGTCCGTATTTTTGGAACATAGCATTAGTTTTTTCTGAATAAAACCAGCAGCGAGGCTGCTGAAAATGAGTTGATCTTAGAAACCAAGTATTTGCTGGGGAAGCAGACCTCCCTCCTGCTCGGCTCACCATTAAGAAGATATACTGCAGGTCAGTAGATTTTCCGGAGTGGAATTTTGCTGTGTAGAATCTTCTGAGTGTATGTGTGTTTCCTAGGAACTGAACTGCTCCTACGGTGAAATATCAGCCCACGACCCAGAAAAAGTGCTTGGAGCCATCCTGTCGTCCCGCCAGCCGGACAGATGCAGGAAAGCTCAGGCATTCATCACCACGCAGGCTCTCCAGCCCGAAACGGTGGCAGAGCTAGTGGCTGAAGAAATCATGCAGGAATTACTGGCATCTTCCGAAGGGAAAGGTGGTAGAGAGGCTTGACCTTGTATTTTAGCCTTTTGGGTTTGTCAGTGTGCTATTTGTGTATCTGAAAACCAGCCCTTGCTCTTGAGATGGTTGAGTGCTAATTATAGTCAGTGATGTTTGGGCAGCTCGTGTACAAGGTTGCTAAACCCTGTATACCTTACAGAAATGCTTATTTTTGAGTTATTTTTGTGTCCATTGTGGTGCTGCAGTAGTTGAGGTTTTTATTATTTGGGGGGGGATGCAAATTTAATGGTTTGAATCAAAAGGGTTGTCTGGGGTTTTTAAGCATGATCAGCCCCATATCGCTGGACTTGCAGGACTCGTGTTCATTGCTCTGGGTAAAGCATGGCCAAGAGGCCTGCAAGGTTCCTCCGAGTTCATGAGTTGAACCCATTCCTGGCCGCTGCAAGGGGTGGGTGAGAAGTGCGTTGTGTAAGGAAGGGGAAATGTTCTGCTTTGCAGCAGCAGCAGCCCGCTGGATTTGTGCGGTTACAGGCATCATTACGGTGGCAGTATGGTTGTTCGGTGGGATTTCATTGGGCTGAACTGGCAGAGAACTCGTATCGGGTTCTTAAATTCAAGCAGTAAGATCAAGTGTCCTTAGAATTGTAATTCCAAGCCCTAAGTCAACCTGGATGAAGTTATGTTGGTTTGCTTGGGGTTTTTTCTATGAACTAATCTCTCCTGAACAATCAGCGCTTGTGCTGTAACTCTCTCTCTCTGCCACAGGACAGAAGCAGGTTTTGAACGCTGCGGCCGAGAGCCAGGCATTCCTCCAGCTCGCTAAGCTGTGCCAGGATCATACGCTGGTCGGCATGAAGTTACTGGATAGAGTTGCCTCTGTGCCACGGGGGGAGCTGGCGTGCAGTAAGTACACGGCAAACAGTACCCGCTGCAGCCGGGGCACTACCGCACGTGGCGTTTACTCCCTTTAAAATCGCTCCCCCAAGAACAAACGCAGTGCTGGAGGGTCGGCACGTTCCCTCGGTGCTGCGGCCGTTAACTTTCCAAGCAGAATGCCAACCCTCTGTGCCCACGGCTGGGAAACGCAGTGAGTCACCTGAACTCATAGAATCACAGAATGGTTTGGGTTGGAAGGGACGTTAAAGATCATCTAGTTCCACCCCCCCTGCCATGGGCAGGGACACCTTGCACTAGACCAGGTTGCTCAAAGCCACATCCAGCCTGGCCTTGAAGACATCCAGGGATGGGGCATCCACAACATCTCTGGGCAACCTGTTCCAGTGCCTCACCACCCTCTCTGCGAAGAATTTCTTCCTGACATCTAATCTAAACCTCCCTGATTTCAATTTATACCCATTACCCCTTGGCCTATCACTACAGGCTCTTGTAAAAAGTCCTCTCCCAGCACCCTTGTAGCCCCTTCAGGTACTGGAAAGCTGCAATGAGGTCTCCTCGGAGCCTGCTCTTCTCCAGGCTGAACAAGCCCAGTTCTCGCAGCCTTTCATCATAGCAGAGGGGCTCCAGCCCTCTGAGCATCTTCGTGGCCTCCTCTGGCCTCGCTCCAAGTGGTCTATATCCTTCTGATATTGAGGGCTCCACAGCTGGATGCAGCACTCCAGGCGGGGTCTCACCAGAGCAGAGTACAGGGGCAGAATCCCCTCCCTCGCCCTGCTGGCCACTCCTGCAGTTAGGTGTAACAGGGGGAGGGTGTTGTGACTTCCTGCGTAGTAATTGCAATTAGAAGGTGCTTTCTTTGTCCCTGTGTTAAACTGCCTGCGTAGATCGGCTGTTAGGCTTTACCCTGTGCCGCTGCATGCACCACGGAGGTGCTGCCGCTGAGTTTATCAGACGTAGCCAAGGTTCTCTGGTACCAGCAGTGTCGAAGTGCGAGTTTAGACTAGTTTTAAAGATTTATTATGGGCTGCTCCTCTCTGGAGGAAACTGAACGAGGGTCAGATTTCAGGTGCGTTGCCTCCCGAGTGTTAACGTGGGCAGGACTTCAGTGTCTTGGGCAGAGGAAGGAGCATCTTCTGGAACGCGCTCTGCACAAGGAGGAGCATGAAGTCGATGTTGAAACCATTCCACGGATTTCAGCCCTAAACCTTTGTGAGGAAATAAGTAACTAAAAGGATCATGCTCCACGTGATCTCTGTGTCCCTAACACAGTCGTCCTGTTGTCGGATCCTAACTGAGCCCTGATTTTGTCTGGCTGAGTACTGTGAGGGTGACCGGTAGCGTGTCACGCGTGGCTGACTGGGGTAGGGGAAGACTGTACAGCATTAGATCAGGCCTTCCACGGAAAATGGCACATGCTGGGATGTGCTGGTTTAACTCATTCCTTTAGTGCCTGGAGTTTATGGAGGATTTTTCAAAGCTGGATGCAAAACCCGTGGCCTTCCTCGCTCCAGTGCAGAGCTGACTGGTGGTAGCGGAGCACCGGGCTGTTGTTAGGTGTTGGTCAATCAGCTCTTGGTGGAGGAGGTTGGAAGTTTTGTGTGTGGAATGAAGTAACGTTTCAGAAAATGATCCAGAAAGCCCGGACTTCCCCGCAGGTCGAGCAGCCAGACGGAGGGTGTGCTGCTACAGAAACCGCGTAGGACGGGACTGCAATGGCTCCGCTTTCTCACGCAGCTCTGCTGTGGGGAGCTGGAAGGGTGGTGTGTCCTCTCCAGAGGCACATCAGCTCTGGGGAGAGGCGTAACAACAGCCTTCCTCGTCACCAGCTGTGACACCCGGCTTCTTTCTGTTCCTCAGTTACAGAATTGCTGATTCTGGCCCACAGCTGCTTCAGTTTGACTTGCCACATGGAAGGAATCACTCGGGTCCTGCAGGCAGCACGGCTGCTCACCGATGAACACCTGGCACCTAACGACGAGTATGGACTTGTGGTACGTGGCTGGTGTTGGTCCAGGGGCTGCGGGGGGGTTCCCACGTACGCGCTAGCAGGTAACCTCCTCCGTGAGCGGTGCAGGGGGAGCGGGTAGGCGATGGAGCGGGGCACAGCCTGTGCCCCCTGGTCTGCCCTGCCTGGCTCTGGGCACTAGAAGTGGTTGGTCTGGAGCGTGCGGGTGATATTTTTGTGTCACGAAAGCTCTCGGAAAGCTTCTCTGGAAAAACAGAGGTGGAGATGGTGGAATGGTGAGGTGGCAGCAGTGCAGTAAACCAGAATGGGAATGTCATGGTAATCCGGCTGTGGTGAGATGGGATGATTTGTATTACCGGGCTGTCCTGCCTTGGCAGGTCTACTGGAGTCTGGGACATGCCCGGTGTAAGGCTGTCACTGCCAAGAGGCTCACCGCATATTTTTATTGGCTAAAATCGGTCCTTTTCACCTCACAGTAAAAAATACGCAGTAGGTTGGTTTAGAAACCAAACCTCGGTGGCTGCAAGGGAACATCTGCCTGCCTAATGCAGCTGGTGCACAGCACTCCGGCCCCACGCAGCCGGCCCCCCGCGGCACTGCCCGCCTTGCCGGGAGGAGTTTTGCTGCTTTACCCGCAGCTTCGCTCCCACACCGACTCCACAGGTCCGTCTCCTCCGGCAGGTACAACGACATGACCTACATATTCGAGCTGCTGCACGAGAAGCACTACTTCGAAGTGCTCATGAGGAAGAAACTAGACCCGGTAGGTGGAGGGGGATAAAGGGGAGAAAACCTTCGGAGAACCGTGTGGCTGCGTCAGAAACTGGTACTTGGACAACAGGGTGGAATTACCTGGGGATTTTAATTACCGGGGTGGAGTCGTCCACTGGTCCTACAGGACTGGAGAGGGGCTTTGGACAGGGGTAGGGAGTGACAGGACAAGGGGTAACGGGTTTGAACGGAAAGAGGGAGATGGAGATGGAACATCAGGAAGGAATTCTTCCTGCAGAGGGTAGGAGCACTGGGACAGGTTGCCCAGGGAAGCTGTGGATGCCCCATCCCTGGGAGTGTCCAAGGCCAGGCTGGATGAGGCTTGGAGCAACCTGGGCTATGGAAGGGGTCCCTGCCCATGGCAGGGGGTGGGGCTGGGGGGGCTTTGAGGGCCCTTCCCGCCCAAACCACTCTGGGATTCCATGAAGTGTTATTCAAGTTCATAGCAATAAATTAATTCTGGGTTTTATTCTGGTTTTAGTTGAACAAGTTTGTTCTGGTTAGCTAAGTGCTGCAGGGAGAGCAGCACTGAAACTTCAAGCTTGGGAATATCACTTAGAGCTTTCTTGTCGTGCTTTGGTTTTACATCCAGTTAATTTCATGGGGTTTTTAAAAGGTAAATATTTGCAGGTTTCTTGTCATAAACATACGTCAGTTTTGGCATGTGCATGTAAATCAGCAAACACAGCGGAGCTGGATTTTCTTACCTGACATAACGTAGTTAAGCCCAAGTATGATACTGCCATGAGGTTTTAAAATGGTGTGGAGAAACCTCCAAGAGTCTAACGATCACTCTGGAAAATTGTACGGGAAGGGATTTGCTTGTGGGAATCCAACAAGCTCTTCAGATCTCAGTGTGCTGTTGCTCCCTCTGACCAGAGCGGGACGCTGAAGACGGCTCTGCTGGATTACATCAAGCGCTGTCGGCCAGGGGACAGCGAAAAGCACAACATGATAGCCCTTTGCTTCAGTATGTGCCGAGAAATTGGAGAGAATCACGAGGCTGCTGCTCGCATCCAGCTGAAACTCATTGAATCGCAGCCGTGGGGTGAGTGGAACCTGCAGAACCAGGAAAGCGTCTCCAAGGAGGGAGACGCGATCGTAACTGCGGATTTGGTGGCGCTGGTAACGCCCGTTAAAGCTCCATTGTCTGGAAGGAGGGTCCTGCTCACCAGGCGCGGGGTGTCCTGGTACGGAACGGCTGCTCCGGCTGCTCCGCTTTGGCGGAGCCGAGATTCTTGGCCCTCGCCCTACCCGGTGTCCCTGTGGCACCACGCAGGGGCGAGGTGAGGACGCTGCCTTCTCCCTCCAGCCGGGTGTGAGACCGGGGTTTCTGACGGCCTGGGTATGCGTGTGCCGGATAACTCGTTAGCATCTGGGCGCGGTGAGTTCTGTACGGCTGGGAGAAGGCTGTGCCGGCAGAGATCTCCCTGCGGAGCGGGCGGCCGGTGCTGCTGCAACGGCTGAACCAGGAGCTGTGCCGATGGGCCTCTGAACTCATCTGGTTATCTCCTGTCGGCCACAAACGTGTGACGGGGCCTCTTGCCAGTTCCTCAGTCACTTGCCTGTCTGCCAGCAGCAGCTTTGGTCCGTTTACTGAGCAGGCATCACTGTTTCTTCACGCTTTTTCAATACGAAAATAGTTCTTTTTACCCTTTTGTTGCGCTCTGGAGCAGCACCAGGCACCAACTGGGCACCAGAGGTGGTTTTGTAACTTACTGTGTCGCCTTTGTAAATAATTGGTGATTCGTTTTTTTTCCCCATTTCAGAGGACTCTCTTCAGGATGTTCCAAATTTAAAGAAGCTGCTGCTGAAAGCTCTGACTCTCTTCATCGACGCAGCAGAAAGCTATTCTAAGGTAAGATGGGATGGGATTGTGTGACAGCTGTGGGAGCACATACGGGGAGAGCTGGACTGGGAGAGGAACCGCAGCTGCCATGGGGAGGGTGTGCAGCATCCTGTGCCGGGAGAAACGCAGCAGAGCGATCGGATCTCCTGCCCTGCCACTCCGCGGTGTCCCCACAGTCCCTGCAACGCAGCTGTATCGAAGAGCGGGTTCGCTGCTCCTGTGTTAACATCCAGGGTTACAGTTTGGTTTTAGAGTGACCGTGAGCTTAATTAGCAAGAACAGAACGATACAAAGAGTGCTGAAAAACTGGCGTGGTTATGTTTAAAAACTGGTGTGGTGATGATGACACCTGCTTCAGAAGCTTGTGTTTGTCTTCGATGTGTTGCCCAGGACTCCTGTGTCCGGCAGTCCTTGCGCTGCCGTCGGCTGACAAAGCTCATCACCCTCCAGCTGCATTTCCTCGGCACCGGTCAGCGCACGATGCTGATCAACCTGAACAGGCAGCACCTCATGGACTCCATCATGTCCCTGCCGAGATTCTATCAGGTGAGCTTGGCTTCTCAGCTGTGATTTTCCCTGCAGTGGTGGTTGTAAGCAGCAGGTCCCGAAGCGCTCCGCACCTGTGAGCGTAATGCTCAGCTCCTCCACGCGGCCTCCAGCTCCCCTGGCTGTTAACCCATTGTATCGCTGCGGGTGGGACCATCTTGGAAACGCAGGCACGGTCCTGGTGCGGAGCGATGCTTTCAGCAGGGCTGGCGGCATCATGCAGCCAGGACCTTGCGTGTCCACAGCTCCCACGCTGCTACAATCTGCTCTGGAGCCCTGATATCTGATCCATGTTCATAGAATCATGGAATGGTTTGGGTTGAAGGGACCTTAAAGCTCCCCCAGCCCCACCCCCTGCCATGGGCAGGGACACCTTCCATAGCCCAGGGTGCTCCAAGCCTCATCCAGCCTGGCCTTGGACACTCCCAGGGATGGGGCCTCCACAGCTTCTCTGGGCAACCTGTTCCAGTGCTTCCCCACCCTCTCTGTGAAGAATTTCTTCCTAACATCTAATCTAAACCTCCCTGATTTCAATTTGTACCCATTACCCCTTGTCCTGTCACTACAGGCTCTTGTAAAAAGTCCTCTCCCAGCACCCTTGTAGCCCCTTCAGATACTGGAAAGCTGCAATGAGGTCTCCTCGGAGCCTCCTCTTCTCCAGGCTGAACAATTCCTTCCTGATGTCCCATCTCCATCTCCCTCTTTCAGTTTAAACCCGTCACCCCTTGTCCTGTCACTCCCTGCCCTTGGAAAAAGCCCCCACCAGCTTCCTTGCAGACACCCATAATTTTGTAAATAAGACAGAAAAAGGCTTTTTCAAGAGAAGGAACACCCCCCTCTGGCACCTTGTTTAGGGGTCAAGGAAGAGCATTCCCCGTGGTCTGTTACCCTGTATTTGTACCCGGCTGCTCTCAGGAACACCATCTCGAGGTGGGCCCAACAGCAGACCTGGAGTATTTTAAGCGTGCGGCTTCTGTGCAGGATCAAACTCCTGCTCCGTCATCCCAGTCACAGAATCCCACTAATCCCAGCCTCCCTTCTCCTGCAGGCAGTGATTGTGGCTGAGGCTTACGAGTTTGTTCCCGACTGGGCCGAAGTTCTGTACCAGCAGGTGATCACGAGGGGAGACTTTGCGTACTGGGAAGAATTCAGGCAGCAGAGGCCGCCAAAGCCGGGCCTGTTCGAGGAGATTGCGAAGAAGTGAGTAATTCTGCGCTCAGACTGGAACTTGCTGCTCCACGGGCTGCGTTAGGGGAGCAGCGGCGTGTTGAAGAGGGTGCAGGTCGCGTGTTCCCGGCTGCGATGTGCAGCGTACGGGACCCCAGATCTGTGTTCGGTTTCTTACGGGTGTTGTGGAAATAATTCTGGATCGGGTTTTACTGAGCTGGGTACGTACGGTGCCGGAGGGCTGCTCAGATCCAATCATTTGTAACGAGGATCAGAGCAAAACAACCAGGAGGACCCAGCGTCCGTGTTGAGCACAGCCTCTTGTTAGGAAGTAGTTCTGCAGCAGGAGAGTCTTGGAATCGGTGTCTGCGACGCCTTTCCGGTTCGACTAAACGTGCCGTTGTTTTCAGAGTGAAACAACACCCGCCCGCTGACGCTGCTCGGAGAAACCTGAAGAGACTGCTTGCCTACTGCGAAGATACCTACACGTACTACCGCCTGGCCTACGATAACAAGTTCTACGACGTGGCAAACGCGCTCCTGAAGGACGCGCAGACCGGCTGCTGCCTGAGCGACATGCTGTCGAGCTAGGACGCAGCTCCGCCGAGCAGAGCCGGCTCC